TTCATAATCAGGATTTGAATCCTCTTAATTAGACATCTCGTGCGCATCCTTATATTTCTTATTTGGCAATAAAAAAAAGATTGTTGGTTTATTATTTGGGATCCAATTCTGGCATCCTATTATCGTTTGACAAAGGGTTAAGTGAGGGGTTAAAGAGACTTAACCTTTTTTTAACCCGCTAAACACAAAAAATCTATACAAGAGTTAAAGTGAGTCAACCCTCCATAGTTTGCCAAACATAAAAAATATAGGAGGGTTAAGCTAACCCCTCCAGAGAGATTAAAATAAGGGATTTACTACTCCTATTTAGAAGGATTAAGAGTTAATCCTTCTAATTATAAATAAAATAGTCAAAATCCTTGTTATCCCTAAACACTAAAAACGATCATAATGGATAAAATAAAACTTATATAATGAGTTAATAATTTAGTCTTTCGGATTATCGAATAGATTAACTATGTTAATTCTTCTCATTAATCCCTCTTCCTTAACACCTTTACCAAAGGGGCTTTGGGACTCCCGGCAGAATATCCTCTTACATATTCTTAACCGATGAGATCGCATTATCAATATTGCATGTCGCTTTTACATTTGACATTACAGGAGCAAAAAAAAGTGTTTCAGAATAAACTTACAAACAAACATTTATAAATTCTGTTAAATTAATACGCTTACTAAATTCTCCTATAAAATCATCTGTGTTAATTTCTTGCATAAACTAGTCCAAAAATATTCAAATTAAAATGAGCTGTAGAGACTTCCCCCTTGATTTGATCAGACAAAACTCTGTAGAAATGTTGAGATCTCCACGCCAATGCACGCGTCTCCGCAGACAACGCAACACTCTCCCATGTTCCTTTTGGTTAGAAACAATTAATTAGCAAAAATATTATTTACACGCATTGTAATGCTTTAAACGGTAATTAGTTTTTTTTGCCTATAATAGACTGGATTAGATGAATAGTTAACTTCATTAAGCTACCTACAGTCGACTGAAAAAATAGTCAGTTGCTTGAAATTTTGTGCTAGATAATGTGGTGTATATGAGCACCGTATATGTTAGTATTGATTCTGGAGGCAGACAAATCTGAGCTACCAAAAGATAATCAACGAACTTGGGTTCGAGCCGATTGAATAGTATTATTAATTAATTGTTCTTTTAAAATAAACACTTGGCCGATTGAGCTCATTTAATTTCATCTGTCCTATAATTGGTTCTACGACTTTAGGGTCCCATAGTTTTATTTTTTAGGTAGAAAGTAATTTCTCTTGTATAATTAAATTCCGAAATACAGTTAATAGGCCCCACATGCATCCCTCGGCGATAGCAGACAGAATCCGTCGGCAGTAGGCGGTCCACGAACAATATGCCTCCTAATATATATAATATCATTGACCAGTTATGCAATGCTAACTCCCAAGGCAAATTACATTATTCAATTCTTCACAAAATTTAATTAAATCCAATTTGTCCGCGGTTTAAATTATTGTACTCATTCTGATCTGCTTCTGTCTGTGCATGCAGAGTAGAATTGAAAATGGAAGATTACCGTGTGGGTTAGGCTGTAGTTTACGCATTAATTAAGGACAAATTTTCAAAACAGACTGGTTTTGAAGTTTATTCCCAAAAACATACATGTTTCCAACTTAATTTTAAAAACCGACCCAGTTGACTGAAACTGGGTCGTTTTTTAAAAAAAAAAAATTCACAAACTTCACGGGAGAGTTCAACTCCTGTGAAGTTTGTGAACTTTTTTTTTCCAAAAACCGACTCAGTTTCAGTCAACTGGATCGGTTTTTGAAATTAAGTTGGAAACAAGTCTTTTTTTGGGAATAAATTTCAACACCGGTCTGTTTTGAAAATTTCTCCCATTAATTAAATTGAAACAAAAGTTATGTGCTTAAGGGATTTGATCATCTAGATTTGTTAATATACAGTTATACTTAGAATAGTCATTGAAGGAACAGTTAATTAATTAGTTACTCAATAAATAATCGTTTGTCATATTTATTTAAAAGAAAACGTAGAAGGATATGGGTGATCAAACGAATAATAATTCTCTAATGTTCAAATTGCACATTTCTATGAGCTCCATAATAATTCTCAACACACTCAAACTATTTGAACATAAAATTAAATAATTACAAAATTGCAGATTTACAATGTGGACGTCAAAGGAAACAGAACACTCCAAGGTATCTCCTCTTTCAACTGGGCTTTCGTCCGGTTCTAGTCAAACCGATGATGGAGGAGCAAAGCCCATTACCCAATCCATATGGGACTGGAGCCTATGAGTCAGCCTGTGAGTTCTCTTGAGTTGATTTGGGCAAGTAGGTCAAGATTGGTGTGTATCGAGTTCACAATATGTTGCGCTCAAATTTCCATCCGAAATATGATTCATGTGTATTTAAGAGAGAAGAAACTTCAATTGTAAGGTGCAATCACTTAAGCTTCGAGGATAGTCGTGCGATGATCTACATCATAAATAGAAAAATTATAATTCCTTAATTAACTCTTCTAATCACCCGTAAATGAAGTAGATCACCCCTCTCTACAGGATGTTCTGATCGAACCGCTTGCTCGATTTGAAAATGAAATGAATGCTTTCACTTGTTAGAGCCTTGGAGATGGCCTTCAAACAATAGGACGAAATGCCCACAACACGTCGTGCCAGTCTCAACAAAACTATGACGTTCAATATTCATGACTCGAGAATCAAACTTTAGCTGATATTATTATTCCCTTAGGGAAAAATGCTTCCAGCCCCCAAAAGCCAAGTGAACGTGCTTCCCACCCCCATGACTTGGTCAATGGGTGTTTTACCCCTAAAAATAAAGAATCTGTTCTCTGAGCCCCCAAAACACAAAACCCAAGACATTAAAACATGTGAAGACCATAATACTCTTCTCTCTCTCTTTCTTTTTTTATTAAAATATGATAGGGGATTTTTTTATTATTTTTGTTCTCTATCTCTCTTTGTCATGATGTATCAAGAGGATAGTTGAAATGATTGATGAGGATTATTTTATTATTTTCGTTTTTTATTATTTTGGTTGTTTGTATTGGGAGGTTGTTAATGTTACGGGTTGATTGTTAAGGTTACGGGTTGGTTGTTAAGGTTAAGGGTTTGTTGTTAAGGTTGTGAATTTGTTGTGTAGGTTACGGATTTGTTGTTAAGGTTGCGAGTTTAATTGTTAAGGTTACGGGTTTAATTGTTAAGGTTACGGGTTTAATTGTTAGGGTTGCCTATCTAAAGATCTTCTTGGTACATCATGGTAAAGAGAGAGAGAGAGAGAGAAATAATAAAATAATCTCCCATCATATTTTAATAAAAAAAGAAAGAGAGAGAGAAGGGTATTATGGTCTTCACATGTTTTAATGTCTTGGGTTTTGTGTTTTGGGGGCTCAGAGAACAAAATCTTTATTTTTAGGGGTAAAACACTCATTGACCAAGTCTTTAGGGTGGGAAGCACGTTCACTTGGCTTTTGGGGGCTGGAAGCATTTTCCCCTTATTATTATCATCATCTGTGTGCGTTCCCTCATGTGCGTACAATGATTGGGGGTCTTTCCATAAATAATAGAGCGCTAGCTTCGTAATTCACAGAAATCCTTGGAGCCCGTACTTGGGTCTTATTAGGGTCGGCCCACTGTCCTTTTGAACGGTCGCGCTGGGATCCGCTTGCCCGCATATCATTGACGAAGAGTCACGGGGCTTTGATTCTGACGAGAGGTTGAGTCGACCTGAATTGATCAGGTGCGTGAACAGTGTAGACTGGAATTTTTTTGTATTATTTTAGACAAAAACATAGTTTTCAGACTTAAATGACTCAGATGAGACTTCAGATTTATGATACATCTCGACGAAAGAAAGAAAGAGAATATGCACATCTCGACACAAATCTTAAAGTTAGATGGATATTAATCATCAACTTTAATATTCGTGTTGACACCCGTGTCTAGGACGGTATACGCGACTACGCCTACATTTGATCCTACAGCACGAATACACCCGCGGATACGGTTAGTAAAACATGAGTGATATAAACCATATAAGGTTCGCATCCCATACACAATCCAACATGGCATGAAAATTCAGTGTGGATATTGATAACATATTGAAGACGAGAGACATGAGACAGCATAATCCTACGGCAATTCATGGATGGGTAGATTCCCTGCAGAATTGGTCGGATTTAGATTCGAATTATTCATTGTGTAATTATAATATTTTTAGTTTGGTGGGGTTTTTTTGTTAATTATATTTAATAATTTTTGATGCGTCTCCTTTTTCCTTGGTGTACGGTCAAGGTACAGCTAATGCTGCTGCCCTTGTGTAAGGATGTGTACCATGTATTTCAATTTTTAGTATGTAAACTATAAGGTTGTTCTACAAGGACCCAAATCCATGGGACCAGGAGGGGACAGGTGAGGTGTCACCTCCTGGTTGCATGATCTACTGTTCATGAACAGTAGATAATGCAACCAGGAGCCTCCTGGTCCCATGGATTTGGGGTCCCCATGAAATTTTTCTTTAGGAAGGGTTGTTCTACAGGACCCAAATCCATGGGACCAGGAGGGGACAGGTGAGGTGTCACCAGGAAATAACTACATTAACGCTGCATATGTCAGGGGTGGCAGGAATCTACAGCTTGGCATTTTGTTAATGCAGGATAGAACTTGAGTACGTTGTGTTAATTATTTATTTGTTTTCTTTTCAAAAAAAAATTTATTTATTTGTTTTTGGGGGAAAAGAGGGCCTCAGCCCTACACAAATGCGGACAGAAAAACACAGGAAATCGAAGCGACTCTTCTACAAATTATTCAAATTCCAACCATTTCTTAGCTGCAACGCAGAACAAATGAGTAGCACGAGACTAATTTGGGGGAGGGGAATTTTAGGAAATGGTTTGGGCATGTTTGGGCTACATTGATTTCTAAACTATTATACCTGAATTTCACAGCATAATATTTGGTCAAATGAGGATCTGAATCAGTGACTCTGTATCCGAACTCTGAGCTTGAGAACCTGTTAACTGAACATCCGGGTCTGAAAACCTCAAATCTAACATACAAACTTGCACTCGATGTCGAGCTTTCAAGCTGGAAGGAAAACAAAGCAGATTACATAAATAACAACATATATATGCTTTATACAAAGACAGCATATTTCACATGAAAACTCAGTTTCTAAATAACACATAATTTAGGGTCCCAACCGCAAAAGTAGGAAAAGAGAACAAGGAGCTATCACTGAAGAAGATACCAGGAACAACAAATCCTAGATATGTTGCAACACACAACCACTCTTTATTCTTCATTAGCTTCTTCCTCATCACCTCTAGCCTCCTCGTCGCTTCCCGCTGAATTCTCTCTATCTCTACCCGAGGGATTTGGCTCTGATGGTTGATCATCTTCCTCATCAGATTCTGACCATGCCCGTCTCTTGCGCTTTGAAGGTGCACCCTTTAAAAAGTCAAGCAGACGAATTATTGTCACTTAAGTTAATTCTACATTTGACTCTCGAATCTTCATATTTCTAAAATTAGACCTCCAAATCTTCATACTTGTTTGAAATAGGGGTCTTATTTTATTTAAAAACAACTTAACAGATTTGGGGTTGTAAATTAAAAACAGTTAATAATACTATGGCGTTATTTAAAACAATTTAATGAATTTTGGGGGGGTCTACTTTATAGGTATGAAGATTTGGGGGTCTAATATAGAAGTAACAAAGATTTGGAATCTAATATAACAAAACCCATTCAGAAAATAAGAAACCCAAGAAGGTAGGGCTGAATTGTACCCTGTAAACTAGATTGGGCAACCATGTTTCTAGGTTACATTGAAGTATATCATCACTTATCTATTTAATATATTTACAAAGAAAGAGAAATATATTTATGATATTTAAGATACAATAGGGCCAAGAAGGATAAGTAGGCTTAGGAGTTGGGAGAACCTTGTTGTAAGAAATTAAGAAGGATATGATAATTGCAAACTTAACGGAGGAGATGGACGCTAACAGAACCAAAACGTAGAAATACATTCATGTAACCCACCCAAAAAATTTGTACAAAGGCTAAGTCATTTGTTGTAAAATGCAAGAGGAAAAGATATTACCACGTCTTCTTCAGCATCGGAATCTTCAAGACCAGCAGCGACAAAATTATCTCGTGTTCTGTCTTCTCCATCCTCCTGATCATTCATTGGGTTCACATCTTCTCCATCCATTTCTTCATGCTCATCCTCCATTTCAGCTTCTTCTTCTTCTTGTTCTTGTTCAAACCGAGTCTTACTCTTCTTCTCCTTCCTTCTCCTTTTCCCACCCTTCTTCCTCCTCCTCCCACCATCTCCACTCTCATCGTCTTCACCCTGAGTTCTTTCTTTCCGCTTACCGCTTGGAATGCTAACGGACTTCCATTGTTCCTGCAGAACATGAATGCCGAACATGGATTGAGACCACCATGATGAATGTAAGAAACTTCTGAAATATGTACCCAATTAAAGGCAAACATTCCATCAACTTGCCATATCACTGGTATTGATGCAAGTTCAGATAATGCAAATGCCAGAAAGGTTCAAATCAAAGTACATAAAACCATAGGATAATGAGAAAGACTTTCATGTTCTTTATGGTTATGTCATGCAAAGTTAGCAGGATAGTGCTATAAGACTTTCTCTGCATAAAAAACTTTGCAAGAGAAGAAATTGCACGTGTAGTAGGAAGACGAAAACCTGACCTTAACACGCTCAAAATGTTCCTCCTGCTGCCTCAATTGCTTTAGCTCATCTTCATGCTTTCTTCTTTCTGCCTGTATCGATATAAAAAAATTATCGATAAATATGTGAAACCTGAAATAAAGGACAACTGGACTATGGGAAAAAAATGAACCGTAAAGGCCAAACTATGAATTAATGTTATGAGTTATAATTTGCCTGAAATTTCCTCTGTTCTTCAGCCTTTCGTCTAGCTTCCTCAGCCAAGCTAACCTGGCGAGCAAGCTCTAACCTCTGACGGTTTTGCTGCTCTTCACGCTCAGCTACTTCACAATGAATCTTAGCAGCATCAAGCAGGTGTTTACAATACTCTACATGGGTCTCTATCTTCTTCTCGTCAAACCCATGAGTGTGGTAACTGGATGCTGCAGACAACTGACTAAATACACGAACTGCATTTTTCAACTCTGCAACAGTTGATCGCACCTGAAATTGTTAAAAAAAGAAAAATTATAGTACAATGAATAGTCAAGGAAATAATAATAACATAACTATACTTTTTGTATCTCAAAAAAAAAAATGCATGGATACAACCGCAGAAGCAGCTTAAGAAATGGATACAACCACAGAAGCAGCTTAAGAAACCACCCGCCCACCCACCCATCTGTTCGCCATCCACGACCAAAGAAAGAAAGAAAAAAAGGAAAGAAAGAAAATTCCTAGACATCCTTGGATACTGTTACAGAGACACATTGCAAAAAAAAGACACGAAGCGCGCGTTGAATGAAGGACTTCTGAATGCAGCAATGTGATTATAGAATCAATACACATGCCTTATTTGTTTTATTATGTAGTTAGGGTTATATAACGGATCTCAGAGGAAAATAATGTTTAGCAATCAGATGAAACTATGAATTCTATGATAATAAATGGCTATCTAAAGAACAGAAGCATATGACCTCATCTGCAGTTCTCTTCGTCTTTTGTAAGGTTGATGCAGAAAACTTCTGCAATGCAACCCCCACATCAAACCGGAGTGTATAATTTGAAGGTGCCAAATGAATAGCTCTGAGCAAGGATTTTTTACATTCTTGCCACTGTTCAGCCTCATAATGAGTACGGGCTAAATATAGAAGAATCTGTGTGTCCGTGTTGTGATAGAACTTTCGCAAGCAATTTTGGTACTGCAGAAAAGCAATAGTCACACTAAGTGATGAAACAAACTTTTAGAGGAAAAAGAAGGAGATCATGTACTTGCCATTTTCACTGCCAAAGCGAAATGACCTTGAGCAAAGTAAACATGAGCCAAATTTACCCACACATCCGGCATCTGAACAAAAACGCTTCCTGAGGCAGCTTCTTGAACCTAAATTTCAAAATTAAGACCACCATAAATAAGTTATCAATGGCTATAGAAAAGAATTTGTAGATAACCAAACCTGACCTGTGTAAATATATCCTTTGAAACATCAAAGTGGCCTTTTTCAGCCAAGACAAGCCCAGCACCATTGGCAGCATACAGGTTCCCAGGACGCAGCATCAATATCTTTAACATGTCAATGCCAATTAAAACAAAAAATTATGACTAAGGTGCAGTTCAATCATTACAAAAACAGAAAAAATGTATACATTAAAGTTTAAAAAGGAAAAATTGAGGTATTTTTTAAAGCAAATGTTAACCTCAGGGTATCAAACTTAATTGGTGGGTATTAAAGTGTGATTAGGAAACTAAGTAATAATGAAAGCTTTCAGCAATAAACCAGATCCCAGAGCAAACAGGATCCCACAATTAGAGGCTCCGACAGTGCCCATAAAAATATTATGATCTTATCTCATCAAAACTTATGGACGACTCTTTTGATGTAGCCTGCCCAACAAAAAGATCATTGGTAAATGCAACTCATTTGAAGACAAGTAAGAATACAAAGAACTAAATGTTTTCATATTAGGAGACAAAATTTAAGGGAAAGGCATACTTTAGTATAAAGTTCTTTTGCCTTTTCAAGATGTGTGGCTTCCAATTTCGCACCTCTTTTCTCAGAACGAATAGCTGCAAAGTAGTTCCAATTACCCTGCCAACCTCAATACACTAACATCAGAAAACTGTAACAGCTGTCTCGCACATTAAGCAGACATCAATTCAGATGGTAATTGCAAAAGAAAAGGGGAAAAAAGAAGCTAATATGTGCAATCTTTCTCTGAGAAGTCAAAACAGCTAAGATAGCTCAAATTCATTTCCGAAAGCATGTACTTCAGATACTAAAAGACGCACCAGGTAGAATAAGATTCTTTCCCATCAGTTGCATCTTTGGCAGCACGAAATGTATCTTTCGCCTTAACCCAATCATCATTCTTTAATTCGAGACTGCCAAGCATGGAGAGAGCATTGGGGCACTTGTCATCTATCTTAAGAGCATCTCCAATCTGAATCATGCAAAGCATCAGTTCTGAGGAACAAAACATCAAAAAAAGTAATGTTCTCAAAGAACATGTTAAATTCATCACATACCAATGCAATGCTTAACTGAATGTTGTTTCGTGCTTTGGCCATGGCAGCGAGCCGCAAATAAGCATCAATATAGTCTGGATACTGCAGGGAAAACATAAAAAAGTTGTGTTAGAATCCACCAAAAACAACGACATAAACGATAAATTTAAAATCAATTGCAATAAGCTGCAAAAATATTGATTCTCCATCACCCGAAAAGATCACACTCCGTCATGGTTCTAGTTGTGAAGTATCTATTAACATGAGAATTTCTTTTAGCATCATAACCACATAAACCTGCCCCCTGCACGCACATATCCATGCACAAACACACACAAACAAGAGGAAAACACACACATGAAAGTGCACAGATGCACACATGCACACAAGCAAAAACACACGCACACAGAAGAAAAGGACACCTGCACAGGCAAACAAAGGAGAGCAAAGAGGAAAGGACCTTAAATAAGATAAACCGGTAAAGAATGCTTGCTTTCTCAGTATTATATAACTGTTCAAGCAATCTGGCATAGTTGAACAGTGTAGTAACTTTATCCCAAGGCAGCTTCAGAGATGTACCACCTTCTTCAAGTTGATGGAATAGACTCATATCCCTATACTGCATAGAGAAGGTGCTACAATCTATAGTAGAGATATTTATTTCCCCATTCAAGAAGGAAACCCAGATTCCTTCCCCCAAAGCGTCCTTGAACGTCTGTTCTGCAAGCTGAAAAAAGCCAACAAAAGAAATTAAGAGGAAAAAGAATTGCATATAAAACTCTTAAAGACAGAAACGGTTTTAGAAATCAACAAAATCCGCCAGATTAAACAAAATGGAAAAGCTTAAAAGTGAAAGAAACTATTTGGAAAAGTTGCATTGCATCACAAACCTCGAATTCTCCCTTCTCAAAGTAGAGAACTCCTATGCTGTTGAGTAATTCTATTGGTACTTCTTCACCACCTTTCTTTATGAGACTAAGAGCCTGTGGGAATGAAGGAATGAAGAACGAAGGCAGAAAATTGATAAACAATGGCAGAAGCTAAAAAATGGTTTAGGACAGAAAATAAAAGGTGTTAAAAAAAAAGTTGATCTCAAAGGATTGAAGCTAACCCATCATTCATCCCACTCATCCTGATCCTAGAAACTTATAGTGAGAGTAGTACTTCATTCTTTAACATTTTGCCATCTCAACAAGTAATTTTTTTTAACCATATGAAGATGAAAGGATCAAATATTTACTAGAAAATTGATTGCATTAAATTTATTGACGTTCGCCTCTAAAATCCTGGCATGAGATTCTCTGTTTAAATGTTGACATGTAAATAGATTTTGATCTGAGAATATTTCTTTGGGTTTACACGCCAAAAGTATAAAAACAGACATGGAGATACCTTTATTGGGAGCCTAAATGGCAGAAGCAATATAGAAGATGTCTGGTGCAAGATATAATATTTGGCTTGCTCTCAATATGTTTTATTTATAACCTATTATGGATCCTAGAATAAGATAAACTATAATCAAATCACGCTATATAAGATTTGCAATTTTCTATCTACCTTAATTCTCTTCCAAAAGCTCCACGGGTACTTGTACTTTCTATCTTCAAACTGTAGATATTTTTGTAAACCTATATCCTAAACATCATAATTACAGGGAAGTGCTTTCTTTTGCAGGTTCTGAGAGGGAAAAAGAGGAAATAATCTAAATTAATCCTATATTGCTATTGAAAAAAATAAAATTTAACGTTAAAAAAATACCTAGTAAAACTATCTAATGGAAGTGTCATAGTCAATATTTGTCAATAAATACACAATTCCAGCACAGGAACGACTCACTATTAGGTACTAGATAAAACCAAACGCAAAAGTGAATTCGTCTAGACTATCAAGCATGACGCTGAGGAAAGGTTCATACCGTTTTAAATGCATCTAAAGCAGCGCCAGCATCAGATGATATCAACAATTCCCCAAGCTCCATAAACGCCTACACCAAAATCTCATCAAAAAATAATGCAGCATTGCTAAAAGCTCCAAGGAAAAATAGTTTACCTAACACAATACAAGTGTTATTCAAAATAGGGAAGAAGGTTGCAGTTTATGATGTCCCATAACAACAACAATGTAAATTAGCATCTCATCATGATACTGCCACCTTTACATTCACATCAAAGCTAATACTACAATAGTCATGGGAAAAGAACATAAATGTTATCAAGCCAAGGTAAGGAGAAGGCAACCCAGGCGAGGGACCTGCTCACAATGACATAAATGGAAAATTCTCAGGTTAACTAGCCCCTATTTACCAAACTCTACACATACACACGCACAAACACACAAAGGAAAAAAAATCAATATCAAAAGAATTGAAACAAAACGATGGCATGCCATGATGGTTGATAATTAACTTCTTGCAAAGAGCCCATAATAAGTTTTGTACAAAAAATGTATCAGATATCCCCCAATCCCTCGGTTTCCCACTTCTTTTCCTCCCGCCATCCCTCTTTTAAATCTATAACCATTTCCAATCTAACCCTCCCATAAATCCTTGTTGTCATTAATAAATACCAAGCAAAATCCTTACGTAAGAATATTTTTGTTTGACACCATAGCCTCTTTTTCAATCTCAACTTCTATATGATTTAAAATGCTTGACTTCTGATCAAGCTTAGCAAGATAGTATTATGACAGAGAGGCTTGAGCTAAGCTAACCTTATATAGTCAAATAAACAGGACACAGAACTGGATGAAGGAAGACAACTCAATATTGTACCTATCAACTACAGAAGTATATGGACACAAGTCTTTACTTTTACAGTAAGGTATATGCTCATAAGTCATAAAATAGATTAGGTAATAGTCAGTAGGCTCAACATAAATAATGACTTAAATATTAGGGAGTAAAATTAAATATCAAAGACAAGAGCACCATAAAAAAATGACAATTCACTGCATCGGACAGATAGTAGCAACAATATACTATGCCCACTAAACGTCTCTTCAAATATGAGTTATCTAGTATATCGTACTAATATGCAAGTAGTTGAGATAATAAAGGAAAACAAGGAAACACTAATAGTTTGGTTCTAATATTCAATTAAGTTTAGCATAAACATAAGAAATAACTTCAGATAATGCTGCAAAACTGGCTGGAATTTCAAGAGAAAAATAAGGTGGCATCATTGCTTCTGAACCAAATAGAATGTAGTAAGTGGTCTAGCAAGCAACAGAGACTTGACCTCTATGCTTAAATTACCTAGGCATATATTTCGATAAAGAGTAAAACATGATGATTAAAAAATAAAGCGGAGTTCTATTACCAAACAAAATGCTTACCTGAGCATCTCGTGGGTCAATTCGTGCAGCCTTGCGGAAGATTTCCAGGGCCTTCTCATTTTGACCAAGCTGAACATAAATGTGGCCAATAGCCTTTTAAAAGGAAAAAACCAATCAGATAAATAGCCAAACAAAATAATAAATTCAAATTTCAAGAACAATCTTTTTTTCCTGTCATATTTACCTTCATGCACTCACAATTTTCAGGGTAAACCGCCAACACCTTCTCAAAGCTTGAAAGAGAACTCCTAAAATCTCCTAATTTTAGTTGGACTTGTCCCAAGCCTACTCAAGAGATCAGTGCAGCAAGAATTAACATAATCAAAGGATAGGAAAACATGAAATCAAGCATGACTGCTAGATGAAAAAGAAAATGACATGCAGCCATACAACCATTAGAAAACTGACCTCAATATAAATTAAAAAAAAATGTTTTTGACTCTTTAACAGGCACGTGTAAAGCCCATATTTTCAATCATTCATATATAATTATATAAAAGCTATGCCTTTCTACAGATCAAGGCATTTGCTATCTGTGAAATACATGAACTACAGAGATATTATGCGCACACAGTATGCTCGCAAGAAATATAGTGGTGTGCAATTGACAAATTCTCAGAGATATTCCTACAGATGTTAAATGATTTCTGTAAGAGGGTAAATCAGCAGCATAATTCATGTCCTTCTAACATGTGCAGGCTTAATGCAAGTAGTTTTCAAGGATGTGCCAGCTATTTCGATGATTGCCCTAAAACACAAATCTGCAGAGCTTTAACCTCACTATCAAGTAACAGCACTGTAGTAAGGGTAACAATGCACAACAGAGCTTTCTCAAAATCATGAAAGCATGACGAAGCAGAGGATAGGCTTAAAAACGCATACCATAAAATGGCAACACAAAGTCTTGTGGCCTATTAATTTCTTTGACAGACGCCATGTAGTAACGGCCAGCTTTCTCGAAATCACGCTACACTTGAAATAGATATGGTAAAGGCGATTAATAGTAAAATGAAAATAACAAAATATCACACCTGAAGATGCATAATCAATATTCAATATTCAACATTCAACATGTTTTTCACCTTGCTGTGGTAAGACCTTGCCAAATTGTAGTATGAATGTGATTTTGTCAAGCCATGGTTGCTTGTAGCTAGAGCAGTCTCAGTTAACTGCTCAACCAAAAAATGCTGTCCAGTAAAGAAAAAGTGATTTGCTAAATGATTTAGCGCCATTGAACAATAAGGGTATATTTCAAAAGCCCTTTGCATTTTCTCCATTCCGTTGCGAATTCCATAAGCTACAAAAAGGAAACGATGTGAAGGTGATCAAGATATGTTGAGCCGAACTCCTCAGAAGAACCAAAACCAAGAGAGAAGATGCACTCCAACAAAAGATATATGATATCATTCACTCATAAATTTAACATTGCACATTCATGTTACCTTCATTTGTTTGCAAATCCATGATTCCGAGAGCAACTAGAGCCTCAACACTTTCTGGATCTAACTACACAACGTAAATCATAGGGGGGAAATCAGAAACACATAAAGGTATGTCAAAATAAACATATACATATGGGACCACATAATTAACTTGCCTGTAGGACTCGGTGAAAGGCCTGTCGAGCTTTCTCGGACTGACCTAGTCTGTAGCGACATAGAGCTATACCAAGTCTCACAGCTCCAGGACAATTAGGATGCACTTGCAATGCCCTCTACTCAAAGTTTTTAAAACAAGTTAACAGAGCGGTCTACTTACAAATTGAAGTTAAATCCTTGATATTACTTTGAAATTTAAAAAGATAAATAAAGTCAGAACATGAGAAAATAAACAAACCTTAAATAACTTCAAAGAGTTTTTATATGAGTCCGTAGCTTTATACTGCTCTTGGCTTTCTCCCTGGTTAAACTCAACACAAGCCTGAAAGAGAAATTCTGACTCAAACTACAGGCATAAAATTCCTAATATACAGCTTCGCCAACGAACAAAAACCAAATGCTGAGATTCAAAAAGAGATTTAGGCACACGAACGTAAAACTACATCAGAAAGACTCATTATGCAATATTAGCCAAGCATAATTCATCACATCATCATCCCAGTCACCATCAAAACATTTAGATGTTGAGAGAAGCATAATTCATCACATCATCATCCCAGTCACCATCAAAACATTTAGATGTTGAGAGAAGTTAGGGGAAAAGGAAAAATAAAGAATAGGTGATAACAGTCACCATCAAAACATTTAGATGTTGAGAGAAGTTAGGGGAAAAGGAAAAATAAAGAATAGGTGATAGATTACATGAAGGTATCAAAGACAGCTATATATGGCATATAAAGCTAAATGATGTCCCTCACCATAATAACAGAAAAAGAACGAAATGATTAATATTATCATCTAGTCTTTTTTCCATCAAACTGTCAAATACATCAAAAAAAGTTAAATGAAAAGATGACATAATTTTACAAGTGGTTGTATCAAGCGTCTAAGTAGGTGAAGAACTGTTGGTAAAGGAAATCATCGTCAGGAGAAAGGCTTGTCATGAATCCTGGAAGGATGCGTAGGAAAGTCTACTATTTAACGTAGAACAACTTTCATTTGGAAGATCACAAAAGATGTAAAGAAAATATTTCAACATTGAATAGTAGACTTTCATTTTTGGGAAGAGCATACTCTTCTACTAACTTTAAATTGTGTGATTCAACATTGGTATAAATCCTAGTTTCACGAGTTGTGAAAACTCAAAACAAGTGTGAAATTTTCTCTTTATCCTTTTTCTTGGCTCTCTAGTTTCCTTTACAAATCTCAGATGCTGCCTGAAACCATCTCCAATCATTTAGTATCATAGCCAAGTTAAATGATAAAAGAAACAGCTCAAAGATGGTTCCACACTATTTAAAATTTGAGATTTGTGATGAGAAGTCGGAGAAAAAAGAAAGATAAGGAGCACTTTTTAGACTTCCTTTAGGGTTTCACACTTTGTATAACTAGTATTTCACACCCAAAATTGCATCAATCTAAAACTAAAAGAATGCTAATTTCTATTTCAACGAAATTAGAATTTTCAAAATCATTTTCGTCCTTCTTGTTAAAGAAAAATCAGTTTACAATTATGAAACTCAAACACCGATAATTTAATTCGCATTATAAAGCTTGTATCACAATAAAACAAAAGATTTTCCAAACAATTAGGCTGTACAAATTCCTAAATCAACTATAATGAACAAATAAATTATCTTGACAATTAAAATCCTAGATATTAAAGTCTCAGCCTATTTTTCTCCTTTTATTTCTAATAGTGATTTTCGCTGCTACAATTATTGTCCCCTCCTTTTCTCTTCATTTCTTCTACATTGACTTTCCAAATGAAAGTCCCCATTCTACATCACCATAAAATTCGTGCAATTTAAGCTCATGGAGCCAAAGACAAACCTCCAAATTTATCCTTATCTAAGAAAAAGTGCAGAAAGAAAGATTGTTACTAGAAACTTAAGATACAAATAAACCTAAAGAGCAAAAATAAAAGATGTCCCATAGAGTAGGACTTAGTAGAATGAGCACACCTGACCAAGAAGAGCAGGGATGTTATTAGGATCTTCATCCAAAACTATTTTAAAGAAACCAGAAGCTTGCTGGAGGTCACCTTTGGCCACAAAAAGATGCCCTGCATAAATATGTAAAGTTGATGGATAACTGATTAGCAAGTGCAACTCATTGATAATATAACAATTTCCCACTAATGTCTCACAATAGATTACGGAAAAAATAATGATAAAAGAAAGGAAAGTCGGCCCTTATTGAACAGTTAGACTACAATCATTTTTCTTTATATAAGTGAGTTTGATACACGTGATAAATGTTTAATATCGGTATTGGAAGCCCAAATAGAAAAGATGGAAGACATTATTGAGCTATGCATAAGAACCTAATTTCTGATAGTACATCCAGGATGTGGAGCATGATTTCCTAACTGGTAATTTGTCTTTGGTATTTGGTCTTTGATTTCATGTACATGATGTCTCCAAACATGTAAACTGAATCAGGAGCCACTAGTTTAGAAAGTGCAAAATAAAAGTAAAAGATAAAACCAGTGCCCTTTATACATGTTTCACATGTTCTCTTCTAGAAACATAGTCAAATATAACCATGAGGTTTAGCCAAATAATTATAACAAGAATCTGATATATTGAAGAGATAAACTAGACATCAATTAGATTTGATATTATTAAACTACAATTTTAGAAATAATCTTAATTTTTCTTAGAGTCTATCCAATCAAACTATGTCTAGTCAAAGAAAATCTATTACTATTATTCTATTACTATTATTATTTAAGAAAAGCCGCAATTTCGGTTCTACCCGTGTGTGTCAAAATCTCAAAAAATTCAACATGTCCTCAACATTGCACACCAAAACTAATTAGAAGCACAAAATTGGAAAGATCAACATCCTAACTACCATCCACTACTTGATAACTACCCCCACTCCCCACATTTTCTAATAGTAAGATACTTTATATCATGCGGCAATAATTTTCTAAAAAAATATTCATATCAGTTAAAAAAAAATTACGCACAACTTTACCATGTAATGCATGCATTGAATTCACCGGAGAACTAGTAAGGACGGAAGAAAACTGTTATTTAAGGATTAAGCAACTATTAGAGAGGAAAGTAAATAGTGTGAACTTCAAACTGTTACCGTGATATTGAAATGTGAGGCAAGGGTACCTATTACTACATATCACACAGGCATATCTGTTTCGGGTGGCGAGGTGTGTGGAAAAGGCACAGGTTAATGAATGAACAGTGATACTATAAAGAATTAATACAAGAATGCATCAAGTGAATTGCATTTTAAACATTGTTATCGATAAAAAAAAAGTTCTGCTATGTAAGCTCTTTCTACAAGACACTCACCTTTACCAATCCACGTCGATGGTTCGTGAACATCGATCCTTGATGCTCTATTGTAATATTGAGTTGCTATCTTAAAATTCTCGTTATTTTCTCGTTTCATCTCAAGCTTCCCCAGATAAGTATGATATGCCCCCAAAGCATTTAGGATAGCAATCCGCTCGTACTTCACATCAGCATAATACTCATCGATTTCTGCAACACGAACAATATCATAAACACATAGTGCTCGTTGATTTCAGCAACATAAATAACGTCGGAAACAGTAGCACATACATGCAAAAGGTAAATATATAACGCAAAATATATGCACGGCTATTGGGATGGGTGGTGATAATAGAAACAACATAAAGCAATTTTAATGAAACGATGCCCATCAGTTATCTCTTTGCTTAAAATGATCCTTTTTTCTAGCAATTTAGAGGGAAAAAACACTTGATATCGAGTACCTGGACCCGAACCTTCCTCCAAAATTTGCCGAAACTGTTCGATTTTTCCTTGCTTGAAGTATTCTCTCTGCACGACCAACAACGAAACAGCAGTTTATAGATTATTACACTCTGAAAGTTTTTAGAAGTAATTGGCGAGCCAATCAAGAAGTTTAAGCCCCAACTAAGTCTAAAAAATTCCTCGCGAGGCTGAATCTTGAAAAAATCTTAATCGGGTTCAATTTAGGGTTTAGCGACTGACCGCGATGATGAGCCAGAGATCGAGAGGGGCCTGCTCGGCTTTGAGGATGTCGAGGATGTCGGAGGCGTCCCTCGGCAATTGATCGAGGGCGACCCTGACCTCCTCCTCTGAGTTCTGGACTGGTATGTAAACCGACGCCATTGCTCGAGCGACCGAGCGCCTTGTCAGTTCGCCGGAGCTAGGGTTTCGATCGATCGATCGATCGACCGCCGGGTTCTCCCCCGGGGAAGAGAATGAGGAGAGAGAGAGAGAGAGAGAGAGAGAGAGAGAGAGATGCTATCGGATTTGGGTATTAGGGTTTAAGTGAAAGCTTTTGCAGGATTCGATAGCCCGAATAGACCTTTAGAAAGGATTGTAACTTCAGCATTGGCCATATTTGTTTGCACGAAAGTAGCTAAGGGGCTGTTTGGTTCGCTAAAAAAATTGGAAATGAGAAGAAAATGAAATGTTTTCTTAACTATTGGTCCATTTCTTGTGTTTGGTTTACTTCTTAAAAGTAAAAAGAAAATGAGATGAGATGAATTGTCATTATATTATTGGATGATGTGAGTGATTTTTAAATAAAATTTATTGGAGGTTCTTTTCTTGTGTTTGGTTGGCTAAAAAAATAAGGAAAAAACTTAAAAGGAAAAGACTTTCCTTGTTTAGATTCCTTTATTGTGATTGGTTCATTCTTAAAACTAAGAAAAGAAATGAGATGAGATGAGTTGTCATTATATTATTGGATGATGTGTCCCACACTTAAGGAAACTCATTTCCTAGTTTTTTTTGGAGGAAATGGGTGGAGATGAAAGTTTAAGGAGATGAGATGAGTTGTCACCATATTATTGGATGATGTGATTGATTTTTAAATATGAGATGTGATGAGATGAGATGAGTTGGATGATGTGATGATAAAAATAATATTTTATTAGATGTTGGATGATAAAATAATATTTTATTAGATGAGTTGGATGATAAAATAATATTTTATTGAATGTTGTGGTAAGTTTTAGGAATGGAAATGGTTGAGAATATGAAATGGGAGATTTCCATGCTCTCATTTCCTATTCTTGGTTTTTAGGAAACCAACCAAACAGCCCCTAAATGAAGTAGACGAAGTTTCTCCTATTTTAATTAAAAAATTATGTTTGTTTTTCTGAAAAGATTATTTTAACTACTTTCATAAATGCAGATGTGCTATCTAGATGGCACTCATGCTTCCTAGAGTTTTTTCCGCCTTTAAAAGCTCAGAACGAGGGGAAGTGGATAAAAAGTGGGTTCCACTTAAATTAGAGATTTACAAGGGCAGATGATTTTAAAAAATATATTCAATTTTTATCCAAACAAACAAATAAATAAAAAAAAGATGATGAAGTACTATTTCTGCTACTTCTAAAAATATATGAAACAAACAAAATAAGTATTATTTCCGCTATTTTCTACTTCATAATTGAGGAAGTTACATTTTTGATTCACTTCTTACTTCTACTAGTTACGTCCATCCAAACGGACCCTATAGTTGTTTACGCAGTTTTTTAGGGGTAATTAGCACTTTAAGAACTCAAAGTTTCATTTATTTTGCACTTATATACCCTCACTTCTCCGTGAAGATTTTAAAATATATACTCGGAAACTTCACCCTGAAGTTTTTAAAATATACACTTTGATGCGTGCTATTTATTTATACAAACGTGAAAATGTCCGTCCAAGAATATTTCGTTCGACTCGTGCATGCTACTTTAAGATTTTTTTGTTAATTATACTGTTAAAATCTACGTTAATTTGTTTAAACCTACTTCAATTCTATTTTGCAATCGATTATGAGAGGACTGAACAATAAATTTCATAAATTAAGGATTAAAGTGCTTTTTTAGTATGCGAGTTAAAAGAGTTTTTGGAATAATATTATCACATCGGATAATAGTAGATATTAAGATGCAAAATTTGTAAATCTCAAGGTATATGAGCGGCAATAACGGGTTGGCGGAGCCGCGGAGCAAAGACAGAAACCCGTAACCCGGAAACCAAACTTCAGTTTTTCTTGTGAAACCAAATCCAGAATCTCCGGCCCAAGCTAGAGTCCATACAAAAACGGTGACCCAGCCCAACCGCCCAAAAACAAAATTGAGAAATCAAACACTTCATTAATCTTTAGTAAGATCACAGCGAGCAAAAAAGATCCCGAGGAGGAAGAAAAAGGTTAGGGACATTCTTAGGTAAATAATTTATTCTTGTAATTTATTTTTTAATCAAGAAATTTCATTAACACATGTAGTTTTTCCTTGAGCCACTGTTTCGTGAAATTTGTCCGTTGATGAGGGTGATTGGCGACGTACATCATCTATGTATTCTAAGTTGTTTAAAATTATCATGTCAATACCTTCTATTATGCAAATGTAAAAAAATTCACCATAATGTTCATGACATTCACGTGTCATTTTTGACCTCCTTAACCTTTAACGTTTGTTGAATATACTTTATATTTTAAAACAGAGCGGGGGTATATGTTAAAATTTTAATCTAGATAGGTTTAACAATAAATTTAATAATATAAATAATTAAAAAGTTCTAAAGTTAGCATGTAAGTGACATGTGGAAACATTCTGGTGAAAATTTTCACATCTGCGTAATAGAGCGTACGAGCATGCCAATTTCTAACAACTTAAAGTATGTTGCGGAACAGAACTGAGGGTATGCATGCAAAGTGAGCGACTCAAACCATACGGTATTTAAGTGCTAAAGCTTCCGTCTCTCACTTTTTTTTTAATTTATAAATTTATTTTTATATACCAATCTCTTACTCTGTAGCTTTTGGATTACATTTGCCTACCTGTATCCGCAACCCACTTGATAGTTAATTTTTCCTTTTTAATGAAAAAAATAAGCAATCGACATAATTTCATACTCTCCGAGCCAACGATGTTATTGTCATTAACTCTTTTTCATTTTTCTCATGTCAATACATGGATGTCCTTTTTATCTCGTTACATATGCCGCCATCACTTTGATTCATTCCAAATTTTGATGTCCTTAAATTGCTAGCATATTTTTTATTGCCTTTTGTTCAGCTAATTAACTCCTTAAAAAAATAATCAAAAAGCTTCCTAAAATAATGTTGAGGCAAAGATCAAAGACGAAAATATTTAGTCGGTTTAGAGCTTTTTGATGTAGATTAATTAAGATTGTTGGGCTAAATTCCAAAACCTGACGTCTGAATTGTATGGAAAATACGTAAGATATTTTATCAGGAGGGTGTATTTCGCTATTTGGATATACCATGTTCTCACAGTCATATCCAATTACAAAACGGCTAATCATCGTGTATCTATTTTATATGATTTTATAATAAAAAAACTAGATAAAATATGATCATTACGATAAAAACTGCTAATAATTTTCAATCACATATGGAACACGCACGTACAACCGCTACAAGAAAAGTCTCATATACCCACATTTATTTATGACGCGTGTATAGATGTGTTATGTTAATTGTAAAACACTAAACAATAACGACGAGAATAGAAAAATGCCCCACGCCACGAAGGTTTCATCAGAGACAAATAAAATAAAATAAAATGACATTATCGCAGTGAGTTACGACACATTTTAACATGTGCAGAAAGATCCTCTCCGGTGCATGATCTGCCCACACTCTCGACTAGTGCCACGCTCCATTTGTGCGCGAGACACAAATGCGGCGGGAAATGGAAAAAAAAAACATTTGTCACAAGTTTTTGTAACTTAATTTGTAGTGAGCTACGATCATTTTAAGGGCCACAACCACATAAACCGGAACCTAGGAAATAATTTTTGGTTTTGTGCTGAAAGTAGGAAGTACTAACATGCATGTACACTTTTTCAAAAAAGCTCTCTGCTCATCCCCATGAACTCTCACAATCTTTGTTTCTTCATCACTAATATTCTCCTGCCAAAAATGACTTGCAGAGAGGGTGGAGCATGTGAATTGACAAAAATGGGAAGTAGGGACAAAACTTACACAGCTCAAAGCCTTTGAAGGAGGGCCCGGCCCACTTCCCTCTCTTCAATCTCCAACTTTGCGAACATGGCAGTTGACTACAGGATAAGGTTTCCATAAATGCTTCGCCAGTGTTTTCTAGCGACTACAGCAACATACTCCCAAGACTGGCTTCTCCAATTATCCTGTTATAGTAAATTTATGAGTCATTTTCTTGTTTTGAATCAAACAAGCAAAGTAAAGAAAAATAAGAAGATTGGTATTTTTTGACTTCTCAAAATTTTCCCTATAATTTTTTTTAAGAAATACAAGAAAATCATACTTTGGGTGGAAAACATTTCTTATAATTTATAAAAATTAAACCAAACACCACCTTTAAGCTAAATCACTACCGTCTATTAAACAAATTAACAGTTAAAATATTATAGTGACTTTTTAACTATTTTTCTTTTATAAAAGAGAGGACCCGATTCCAATTTGAGGGGGTATATGAACAAAAGAAACAACAAAAATTAATAATAAATATCGTAGCATTTAAATCACCACTCTTGGCCTTCTTCACAAGGCTTATTCCTTCATCACAAGCTCTCCCCATGGCCTCTCCCTCCTCCTCTCGCCGCTCTCCTCTCCCTCGTTCGCCTCTCTTCACCTCAGTAAGCGTTCGTTTCTAAAAATATCCCAAAAAACAGAGAAATTTATTTTCTTAAACTCAGGTCCTTGGACCTGGTAAATGTTTTTTATTGGGTCCAATTTCAGATACCGGAGCTTAAAGCAGGAAAGGAGTCGAGCGACCGGCGAGGCCGGGAGGCGAGAGCCCAGGTCACGGCCGTCAGGCCAGAGGAGACCGCAAGCTGTCGGTCTCTCAACAAGTGCCGCCCCTCGTCACGTGACCCAACAAGCAGCCCACCCGCCGCCGCCCGCTCGGCAGCAACCGCCACGTGTCCCGCTCTCAAAGCTCCTCCACTAACCTCCTCAACTCACCCTCACCCGCAGGAGCCCAGGCCCGCGCCCCCTCCACGTCACCGCCGCTGCCCCCACAGCCAGTGGAGGCTCGAAGCCCAAGAGCTCTCCCGCAAGCTTCTAGAATCCTCCCGTCAGCGGGACGAGGCGCTTCTAGAAGCTTCCGCACTCAGGCGCTCCGTCTCCGAGCTCGAGCGCCAAGCTCGACCGCTTGGAGTCCTGCGCCTCCGACGTCAGGTCCTCCCTCGACCAAGACCTGTTGGGCCCCACAAAGACAGGGCCGGGTCCGCTCGAACCGTTCCGGTCGTCAGTCATCGAGGCCCGGACAGCTGTCCAAATACTCGGTCGAGCCCTCTCGCTCCGAATCAAACCGGGCCGGGTCGTTCAAAATAGAGAGGCCCGATTAATCTGCATCGAATCGCAACTGAACCGGGTTTTTTTCGACGGTTTCGAGAAACCGACGTCTATAGAAGCTAGGGTCATCGACCCAGCGGTTCGGTTTAAAATAAACCGAGCGGAGTACGAAACGGTCAAAACGCTGACGTGGGAGGGGGTGCTGAGTAAAGGGACGAGGTTTTACAGCGAGGGGTTGAGTAAATTTTGCGACGAGAAAATGGGGGAGATCGTGGGCTTAATGGGCTGGGCGAAGGCCTGGCCCGAGAGCTTGCTGAGGGCCTTTTTCGGGGCTGCGAAGGGGGTTTGGATCGCGTACCTCCTCGCGCGGTGTGGTCACCGGGGGGTGAGGATAATGAGGGTGGAGGGAGGCGTGGGGTTTGATGGGAGGTACATGGAGGATGTGGATACGAGGAGGGGTGGGGTGAGTGTAAGGATGATGGTCGCGCCGGGGTTTTATTTGGACGAGGGAGGGGGCGGGGTGATCAAGAGCAAGTTGGCTTGCGGGTGTAGCGGTGGTGAGCGTGAGTGGAATTTTTATTTATTATTATATTTAGTTTTTGTGTTATAAAATGTTTATTCGTGTTTGGTTATATGAAAATATGGGAGGATGAATCATCGGAAAAGAGAGATCAAATACTGTTCCGGGTTCAATGAGACCCGCTCAATGATTCAAAAAAAATATTCGACCGCTCCAAGGATCACAAAAATGTAAAAACTACATCGGACTCGGAGAACAGAAAACATCAGCTTTGTTGAGTACAGGATCAGTTCGTCACAGAACGCTGACCCGTGCTGGGTACAATATAAAAAGGAGCCCAGGAATAGAAATATTAGGGTACATAGTTCATATTGTTTTCTTGCAAACTAACAATGAATGGAGCTCTATCGAACTAGAAATCCCTCCGTTTCTAATTTCATCACCATTGGAGGGAACTCAAACTCTATTAAGCCCCTGTGGTTTCATCTGCGAATCTATTAAGCCCCTGTGGTTTTTTTCGACTCTATTAAGCCCCCCCTGGTTTCATCTGCGAATCTATTAAGCCCCCGTGGTTTTTTCGGCTCTATTAAGCCCATGTGATTTCATCTGCGAAACTATTAAGTCCTCATTCTTTTTTATTACTCTATTAAGCCCATGTGGTTTCATCTGCGAATCTATTAAACCCCGTGATAAAACCACGAGGGCTTAATAGAGTCGAAAAAAACCACGGGGACTTAATAGATTCGCAGATGAAACCACATGGGCTTAACAGAGTCGAAAAAAACCACGGGGGCTTAATAGATTCACCGATGAAACCATAGGGGCTTAATAGAGTTTGAACTCCATTGGAGGTGATTAGGAATCCATCAAACAAAACCATTACAAGCTAAGATATGCTTGTACTCATTGGAGATATTTAGATAAGAGCAATCAAAGAGCAAGCCCCGAAATCCACAAGCGGGAAGCACAAAATTTTGCAGTTCTTTTACAGCTTATTGGCGAACACAAGCCATTCATATTTTTACGTAAATGTTACCGTGTGATGAGACATATATACAATTTCAGTTACTAATTACATCTTCAAAAAAAAAGAAGCACTAGCAAGAATGTCTACAAAGAAATTACAGCACGTTCACCATAAAAATCACGGTGCTGATTTGTGCAGTCAGCGTGATCACCAAAAGAATCATAGGTTTTGAAGTAAGATGAGAGTTGGCCACAGAAATAGACCTGAAAGCATCGTCAGCAGAGAGTTCAGAGAGTTCCATGATGCATTCACAGGTCAAATCTCAAGGTCACCAATTGAGAGCTCTTCGACACCTAGCATCTTCACTTTCTGCAGTTACACATCCATAAATCTCAGGAATTAGACAAAATTTTGTGATTTACTTCTAGCTCATCTCTTTGCCAATGTATAGACAAAAGGCGTAATGCATAGATACAAATAGGGCTTAAAATTAAAACTCGACGGTGCCATAGCTCTACAAATTTTTGACTTCTTTGGGTGAGATTTGCATTTTGACATCACTCTTGTGTTCTCAATCTGTAAGCAATTAGTCTTCTGAGATCTTTTATTCTTCTAGTTTTCGCTCGTAGTCTCGTTAAACTACGCGTATCACATTTGAATATGGGTGATAAGATTGTAGATAAAGTACTTCAATCATTTTTGTAGTCCTATGTTATGTTATCCAACTGATGATGCCCCTCAAAATGCCTAAACAATTGATCATCATAACTTCTCTCTTAATCATATCTAAATTGAGGCATGCCTAAACAACTGATGATGTAGTTTGCATATGATACAAAATTGATAAATATATCTGGGAGCAGAAACAATACCGATTCAATGGCATAACAAGGGACCATCAAGATAACACCAACCAGAAACTTCTGCTCCTGTAATTTCACAGACAAAAAACAAAATTAAAAAAAATCCAAATCAAGCTCAAAAATAACAACGAAGATGACCGATGATGACGACGATGACGAGAAGCAAAACCTCAGGATTCTTGTAACCATTAGATAACACCAACCTTCGTAAATTCTTAAAGCCACTGTGACGCATGAAACTTACTTTTTCTATCAATACATTTTCTTAGCTTCATATTGAAATAATAGTATTGTCCTTCTATGAACTAGCAGGAAAAGACTCGTGTAAACTGCTTGACAAGCTAAATAAGAGATAGGACCAGTTGCCTCACAAAATATGTTAACAATATACAGACATTGTATCACTATTATGAATAACTGGTTTCTTCAATTCAAGAGGATTTCCTTTGGTAGATGCTGGGAACATAAATTTTAAGGAAACATATATAGAATACAGGATGAACAAGCAAAGATTAACACCTGGCAGTTTCAACCGCAAATTAACAATAAAAACTGATTAAGACGCACTACCTTGCTTTACTTAAAAAGAACAACATTCATGAACGTGAATGATCATATTTCATGAACAGGGCATAATCATGAGTTAAGGTAAAATGCCTGCACATCCGTATCAAACAATATTGCAAATGAAAATATAAAAGAGAATATGAAAATATAAAATAGACCAGATTTTTTTGTTCTTTTTTCATATTAGATCCAGGCATGACCAGTTTAGAAACAGCAAAACCTCAGAAGAATTCTCACATTTCCTAAGATTCTAGACTAGAAGTGTAAAACAAAACTATAGACAATAAACAAGATCGTACATGTCTTACCGGAGTAGGTAACTTTGGGACTACTAGGCTGGTTTTCTTTGGACCCTGTTGCTCAGGGCTTTTGTGCTCCCCAGGAGAATCTGCTTTATTAATAGAACCTTGTGCACGCCTATCATCAGACTTTTCCTTATATTCAGAAACCTTCTCTTCTCCATACTGTAAATGTGATCTTGCAGTAGAATTTCTAGGTATCCATCTTTTATCTTCATATTTGGCGATTGAACTATTTTTCAGGCTACCGCATCCAGCTATACAAATCTTAAGTAGAACTGTGAAGAATCACAGTACAAGAAAATTAGAATATCTATTGTGATGCGATGAATTCCAAAATAAATTTATACTTGTAATTTGTAAATGATTTATTAATTATTAATAAAGAATTTATTTTTATAATTTTTTATTTATAATTTATGTCATTTTAAGTGATTAATAAAATTATTATTTTTTGTCTTTTTTTATAATTTAAAACTTAAATAAAATTTGAAAATTTGAAAAAAAAATTTTAAAAAAAAAGAAAAAACCCGGGCCGGCCCGGAACCCGGTCGGGCCCGGGCCCGGCCCGGGGTACCCGGGTCCGGGTCCGGGCTCCGGTTTTGCCGGCCCGGCCCGGATGGATAGGCCTAGATACAAATCGATAATCAAGGAGTCCAAGTTTCAGTTGGATTTTATGACCATAGCAGTCTGCACAATTTATTCAGTATACATCCTAAGAAAAAAATAATCACCATAAGATGACAGATAGAATAAGAAGCCGTACATCTGACAAACAAAAGCAATTTGAATTTTTTTGAATATGCTACTGGTAATGCATAGGTCTCCTAGACTCACCGTAATGAATTGAGGAGGATCGTCAAGGCTAGTAGAACCGATGATGATTTCCCTCTTTAACTTTTCCGTTAGCTTGTGAATTGCACGTAGCTGGTACATAAACATGATAATTAACGAGAGAAAAAAATTATTCAAGAACAACAAAGAGTGATGCAAGCTTCAGGAGAATAGATACCTCAGACCGAGTAGCTCCTCCAATGATAAAGATAAAAATGCGCTGACCCATCTTTCTAAAATCACTAGATGCATGTCTTAGCACCGAATCACTGCATCAAACATCAACAAAAGATGGTTCACATTTGAATCTTGAAATGATAATTGAGGCGTGCTACATATCTTATAGTTACTTGCCTGTGTGGGAAACATCATGTGTTCATTGCTGTTATGCTTGGGGCCAAATTATGCTTTATTATTTATATTGTGCTATTGCTCGTATGGAATAATTATAGAACACTTCATTTGGGTAGAGTGAGAAGGGTGATACTACCATAATTATACCAAACTTATTGATATATGTCACAGTCCAGAGTTTTCATCTTAAGTGCAGTCACATGCTCTTTTTAAACCATGACAAACTTCAAGATTTATTTTCTGTTCAGCAAGAAAATGGGAATAATTCAAACTCTACCTTGAATAACCATCATCAGAACAACGACGCCTGGCCCATGTGGCAGTCCGTCTTGATCTCATAGAGTGAGCACTATGAACAGGGCTTGCCCGAAGAGAAGAGCTTTGCAAGGTTCCATGGAAAGTAGGATTTGGTTCGTTCATACACTGATACTCATTCTTTGGCAACTCATCCTTGGCAAGTTTCTCAATCAACTCCTTCAATAAACAATGATTGTTGTTATTAAATGACAATTGATAAGAAGACAAGGAAGAGAGAGCAAAATGCACACTTCATATCAAAGCATAAGGTGATAAATATATTTTATTGAATGTCTACTATGTAGCGGAACTCGTTATCAGTGAATTGTCAACCCGAGCAAATGCTAATTCTATCTCATTTATCATCTTTGCATTTTCACGTATACAAGCTGACACTCTTGCCCTATTACTTCCAAGCTTCGTTCTTCCACCACCATCTATCTACACGATATAACCTAACTACATCCTTCTCACTATTCCTGCTACTTGAAGACGTGCTATGCACATAGCACTTATTTTTCACTCAAATTTCAAGTTCCTTCCTTTTACTATTCAATCTTAATTTTCCTCTTAACACAGATGTTCAAGAAAGGAAATAAATGTTATCCACAAACATTTTCTTCATCTGTAATTTCATTTCTTTCTTCTGTTTATTTTTCTCATGCACTACATAATACAAATATTTAAACAAACAATATTATCAATATTTGTTGTGTGAACTTCCCGTCTCCGTAACTTTTTATTATACCCTTTTTCTCCATGTGAGGAGAAAAATTGCTAATTAACACACAAAATTAGGACTAACAATTAGACACAGTACTATGCATACAAGGAAAAAGATTAAAAAAACAACCAGAAGTTCAGAATAATGAAGATATATCAAGTAAAAATCAACAAATTGTCAATTTTACATGTCCAACCATCATTTTTATCAATTTAGTTACAAAATATAAAGAACTGAAGCACACCTCAATCATCGGGTAAAATCGTGATAATGTCCATGTTTCTCCTTCATTGTTTCGCTCTTTTCTTGCTGCATGCTTCTTCTATTACAAAACAAAAGTGTATTGAAGAGTTTCCGTGAAAATAACTTGCAAAGGAAGGTGTTGCATGTGTACTCATAATAAACAATTAGCATCTTCACCTTATGAACATCAAATTTGAGAGAGAAAACCCCTCCCGATTCCTCCTTTTTAGTGTCTGTTCCTCCCAAGAATCTCATGTTACTTATAGCAACAGCATCGTCATCCGATAATTTTGCTAGCTGAAAAAAAAAACTCACATCAAATGCTGGAAGTGGATGACACGTCACAGAGCACAACACTATATCAAACATTTAATCATGACACATATTTGAATGTGCATGTAAAGCACCATCGATGGTTATCGGCCAACAACAGTAAAAATCAATTAGGGGTGACAACTTTTCATGTTAAACCGAACTGCCAAACCAAACAAAATTTGGTTCAATCACTATGCTTCAGTTTTAGAACAAGAGTTTGGTTTAGGTGTCAGATTACTCCATTTGGAAGCCTAATTAAACAAAAAAAACCGAATTGCATGCCCATATACGATTACAGATGCGAACAAATATGATTTGATAAGACTCATATCTATCCACCAGAATCAGATACAGAGAGGAAGTGAGAGAAATGTATAGATGACACACATCAGATATGAGAGAAAAAAGACTAAATAATCATGTCATCATGTGTTGGGTAAAGTGTCTAAATATTAGAGAATGTTTAAGTAAGAGCCAACCAATTAGTCCAACATACACCAAAGGCGTAAAGTTAGACCCGGGATCACCAAAAGGTTTCAGATTCACTAATCATAGATCATAAGAGTTTCAGCGGGTTTGGCAGAAATAAATATCTGAATACCTGTATCTGACTTTTTAACCTATAACTGCATCAGTACGTATATCTTATCAAAATAGAAAATTGTGTCCTTATCAATATTTGAACCTGATGTAGCAGAAATGAGTAGGGGGTTATTATGTGCTACAGCTATAGAATGAAGCAGTGCCACTGTTAGATAAAATGGCATCTTGATGGAAATAAGTGTTTAAATTCTCAAAGTATAGAAGCATGGAAACTAATGAATTGAGAAGTACATGAAAACTAGTGATGTCAAAGAATATCATAGAATTTACCTACCTGCATTAGCTTTTCTCCCTTGTCACCTTCGAACTTCTCAGGATACATGGATGCATAAATCATCAACAAACGCAATTTGCTTTCACGTGTAACATCCTGCATGAGTAATTTAAATCTCAAGTTCCCTTTACAGTTGATCAAAGAAGCAAGCATGTATTTTCTTCTGGGAAAGAAAACTTTTACAACCTGATTTTTCCTCAGGAACTCGATTATTTCTTTCGTCCCTGCATCTCCAAAGACAAGATCTTGCTCGAGTTGTCCAACATCCCTAAGTCCTAACTCTTTAATTATTTTGTTAATTTTTCCTGCAATCTGGATTCATACATATGGTGAACCAGACACAATGTTAGTATAAATTTATTTCTCACAGCTAGCTCGAGCAGCAATATACTATATTACACTGGGTGATAACAGTATAAATGTATTTTGTATATGTTGATTCTTTCTTCTATACTTTCAAAATATAAGCTGATAAAATCTATTGAAGCAGTGAAATAGACACGGAACAGCAGTGCTGCTAAACTTCCCATCAAGAAGAAAAATTTCAGAAAGTATATGGGTCTCTCAGGAAGTAGAAAGACACGCTGATGCCACTAATATGGCCAATTTAATGGGGAAATTAGAGAGGAAGCAAGCTTAAATAGTTACAAGTAGATAGACTGCAGAAGGATTCTTCCAGATTTAACACCCCCTTCCACAATCAATCTGTCACAAGTTCCAAGTAAAGGGAGTGATGTGTTAGATCATCTCTCCAATCAAGACAGGGAGTAACTGCATTCCATTCAAAAGCCCAAGGAAATGACAGATAAGAAAAAATGTTACCTCATCTTTCTAACCAACAAGGAATATATATATATAGTGGCTAGTTTTGACTTAAGAGACTCCAAACACCCATAACTTGAGCAAATGAAACCCCAATAGACAATTTTTATTTGGCAGGGAATGGTTTTGAAGGAATGGACATAATGTTTCTTGTGAGACCAATTCACTTAAAACCGTAAGTTTAAGTATTCCTGGGCAACAGTGCCTAACAATATTGACAACTAATAATTAAAGTTCCCCTCCATTCTCCAATATATAGATGACTTGTTCGGAAAGGTAAATTGAGTATAACAAACATATCTTAAGTTTCCAAGTTTCAACCCAGGACAGCTTGAAACTAAATTAAACTTGATGTTATATTAATGTCACTACCACTACATTGAAAGTCCAAAAATCTGAAGTTTTGAGAATCATTCGGGGGTTTGTATTAGCTTATTAGCTTTTTGTAACACCCTTTATTGGTGGCCAAAATCTAGGCTTCTGCATATGATCCATCATCATCAGAACCAGCAGCAACATCCATTCCACTTTAAACATATGTTAGACTGGCTTTAAACCCAATGTCTGTGATATATAAAGTAATAAAACTGATTTTCCCAAAGCTTATGCTCAAGAGTTTTTGGAGAAACAATATACCAGCAAATCGTAGCCTAACAATGCCTAACACAAATATTAAACAGTGTAAGGAAAGAAGGCGTCTAATTGGTGGTGACATATCTTGTCGTGTTTTGAAATAACCTTCGACACAAAAAGAAAAAAGAAAGAAAGAAAAGGATGTGAGGGAGAGGTAATGCAGTGCACTTCAAAATGATTGTCTGCTAAGTTGACTGAAAAAGTGATGTAGCCATACAAAAAATAAATAAATGGCGCACAAACTTCATTCAATATGTGAAAAGAAGTAAAGAACTATATCAGATCTTCAAGATAATGAATGATGGTGATGAAAAAGCTTTTACTTAATTTTTTAGGTTAGCTGCATGAAATCTATTCTTCCATTCAGTCCTATTAAGGACTATCTCCTCCATTAGGTTAATCACTATCATATCTTTCTTAATTGCTTTTAATTAAATTCTATTACGCCTACCTCTACACCTCTTGCTCTATTCTAATCTTATCAATTCTAATTGGTGCACTTAGTGGCCTCCATTACAAATGGCAAAACCATCTCAATTGAGACTCTCGTTTTCTCTTCAATAAGAGAACCTCTACCTTCTCGTTAATGCACACATCTCTCCCTCTCCCTCTCCCTCTCCCTCTCTCGGTGTATATCCACACTTTCATTGTAACATTCTCATTTTTGCTTCACACGTATATCCACACTTTCATTGTAACATTCTCATTTTTGCTTCACACATTTTTTAAAGAAAATGTATTGCTACAAATTTGAGGTATAAAAGCCGTCAAATTTCAAATAACAAGGAAACTGATATTCAAATCCCTTGAAGGATCAGCAACCTATTCTCCGCAGTAAAAATCTCAATCAACTTCTATAAAATGTTTTGTCCATAAATCTTCCTAGCTCATCACCTAATAAAGTTTAAAAGAAATAACATCAATAATGGAATAATAATGCTACATTTTCATCCATATTATACTTATAACTGATCTCCTCCTCAACCAAGAGATTATAGATTCATAAGCCCAATGATTCTTTTGCTGTTCTTATCGGTGGAATTACATCGTTAAGAGCAGCTATGCATGGACTTGAATTTTTTCAAATAAGTAATCTGTTAAGAGCGTTACCAAACATCTATTTTTTCATAAGCAAGGTCCTTTTTCTCTTTTGAAGTTTAAGAAGCCTAAGGAAGAATTCCAAACCAACCTAGATGTATCTTTTATTGATAACGGCATCTTCGAAGGTATGATATAGACCAAAAAGTCACATAAACACATCTGGAGAATTATAAAGCAAATAGCATTGTCAGAAACAAGAGTGGAGACTAAGTTCCTTGAGATTAAGCATGCCCACATGTTCGGAGGTTGAAGTCATTTATTTATAATAATAAAGATAATAATAATAAAAAAACTAAATCCTAGTTTAGGCATTATAAGTTGTTTATAATAAAATAGTAATAATAATAATAATAAAACTAACTTAGTTTAGGCATATTAAGTTGATAGTTTAGCAAGAGATGAAAAACAAAGTATAATTTGTTCAAACAAACCTCTACATGGAGAGAGAGCTTGTCGATTTGCTCACTGTAATTTGGCAAGGCTTGAACCACCTTTTGCAAATCCCTTGTTGATAGTTCAGCACCGTCTCTATTTAACAAATAAGAACATGAGACGAGTTATATGAAAGGGCACTCACAAAAAGATGCAGCACTTTCAAATCATAAATTACTTGCCGAAATTATATGTCTGGCACTTCTCTTATTACATTTTGAACTATGTTTTTGGTAACATAAATTTATAGGGATGTGTATGTATAGAGGATAGAATATTACCCATTTTCCGCACAGGTATGAATAGGCAACTCACTTAGTAAAGTGAGCTACCAAGAGCTGGTGAGATCCCCTTTCCCAAGTGAGTAGGAGGGGAGGTATCAACCTCATAACCATTTAGCAATGTTTGCGTATATGTATATGTGTATGTATATATGTATATGTATATATAGACACGCACACATATAATTTAAGTCTTGGTTGAGTTAAGTAGAGCAAGAAAGGAAAAAATACACCACATAGCACAATCGTTATGACTCTCTAAATTTTAGTTGCTTTTACTTCTTCTTTTTTTCTCGAGAGAAAAAAAAAATCCTTCTTATGAACTTGAAAAAGATTATGGCATCTAGTGATGCCTTCAAATGCTATTACTATAGATTTTTATGATGACCCTTTTCGTTATATTGGAACATTATATCCTCACTGCCACCCAGATATTTTTCAAGTCCCCGTTGCTCAATTATGATGCTACAAATTCTTTAGTGTTCTTGTTTAGCTGCGAGAGTGGGAGGAAAGCATGAATGCAATGGCTTGAGGAGACCATGAATGCAATGAGTTTCATATTTGAGGAGGAAGGAGGAAGACACCCCCCCCCCCCCCCATTTATTTTTAAAATAATACTTAATGGAAAAGATAGTGCTTTACTTTTACAATATAAACTCTGTGAAGTTTTAAAAGTCTAACAGAGGTTACCTACAAAATATGAATCTGATATCCACCTCTTAGGGGTTGCACTTCCAAGGTATGATTTGCTACGATCAATGGAACACTTTAATTCAATTACAGTATGTCAGCTTCTCATTCATTTAGTACAAGAAAGATACTGAGTTGAAATGGTTCTATGGTAATTTTTAAATGTATAAACCTATACTATTTTCTTCTTATATTTATCATAATTATTTATAAAATTAAATGATAGGGGGTCTTATGACTAACTCAAAGTTATAATTTAGTAATTTACTAAACATCTATGGATCATTGTGATTCGGTTATGAAGTCTGTTACCTTCCCGTTTATTTCTTGGCCCTACAGTAAGTCTTAGATGTATAAATCAGGTATCCATTATGTTTATCATAATTATTTATAAAAAATGACAAATGATTTACATTCAACTTAATAAGATTTTGAATTTAAGCATCTTTGGAGGGTTAATACAAAATTGCACATCCATTCATATTTATAAACATATAAAATAAATTGATTATGAATTCCAAAGTAATTTAAGTTGAAATGTACTAAGGGTTCGCATTCACAACCAAAACCTTTCTACTAAAAAAAACCTCCTCTTGTCATCCCGAAAAACCTGAAACAACAGTTAAAACTATACGGAGGAGCAAAACCTGTCTAGAGTACTGTGAATTGTATCTTCAATGTGTAGAACAGCATTTATGGTAAAATCAGACAGATTTAGACTGAAATCAGGGTTGGATTCAGATTCGCCTTAACAGAAACCATCTTGAATCTATGTTCATGTTAGTTCATTTATACACTAGAGGCATGGCAAGTTCTGACAAAAGTGAGCACAAGCAATGACCCAATGCACTAAAACTTCTTTCCATGTGGGTAATAGACAGGGACGGACTATAGATGAAAGCAATAGCGCCTCGTTTGGCATGCGAGAATCAAGTCAACTGAGAATGAAATTAAATAAGGAATGGAATGGAATAAGTGTGGGAATGGAATGTCCATTCCCATTCTCGTGTTTGGGTGCAATTAGAGGATTAAGTGGAGTGTCAATCTTTTTTATTTTTCATATCTGTAACTACTATGCAACCAAGGCATATTTAGAAAATATTACTTTCCACTTAAGTGGGAATGCCTGTTCCCTACCATTTTATTGGGAATGCTCATTCCCACATAATAAGAAGTGGGAATGTGCATTCTAACTTCCACAAAGACGCTGTGGTTGGTACGCATGAATGAGAAAGTGGGAATGTGCATTGCATTCCCACCCATTCCGCATACCAAATGAGGCCGATCACAACAAAAACTTGGTTTTTGTTAAAAGGAAAGGAGAGGAATATCAGAAAGATTGTCATAACTGTTTTATGGAAGTATGCTACTAGCAGCAGGCATTTGTGATGGATGTAGCAAGTATAATATGTTTAAAATTAATTAGCTTAAATCATATACATAAGAAAATTATATAACTATTGCTCTTTATAACAAAGAACAAGCATTTAATTTAACTAATAATATAACTTTTCATCACTAATCAAATAATTTACTTAGTAGTATATAAATATTCTAACTATAGCATTGACTCGAGAATGGAAAAAGTCAAATAAAGGTGCAAGGGTAGGTTGAACCAAAAGGAGTTGATGTCAAGCGTAGGATTTACACCCAAAAGCCAGTCAAATACATTGATGAAATGGGTAGAATTGTTTGAAGATGCTTTCGAGCTTCAGTACATTGATGAAATGGGTAGAATTGTTTGAAGATGCTTTCAAGCTTCAGCTCACTTGTCCTCGGAGTAGGCCTTAATGTTTGTAACAGATACTGACTTATATAGATTGATATGCACAAACCCAATCCTGTGTAAATATTGGTCAAATACCAGATCTAAGTTTCAGCTTTTCAGTAAACGTCTATGCTGGCCTTGTTGGGCTAGAGTTTCTCCCCTCTCCAGAATACAGATCGAACCAAACAACTTATATCAAAATTTATTACAAAATGCACTTATGCAATATAACCAATACAGAAAAAACATCTGATTTATTTCTCCAGTTAAACTTGAGATAAATATGTGTGTGCATGAAGTTTATTTATAGCACCCAAACAACCTGCACCAAACTTTATTACAAAGCGAACATAATGTAATACAAATAATACAAAACACACAAAAAGCATCAGAATGATTTCTCCAGTTAAATTTAAGGAAAGTCCCTTACCTTTCTAAATACACACACACACACATACATTATTACACAGGAGCATATGCATACATGCATGCATATATGTGTGCAATGGACAGTCATCATAGTCATACTTCAAAAACAACCTCCAGATGGCAGGAGATAAGTAACCTAATAACTAAGGTTCTGTTGTTTCTGAAGTTTGTCAGTTTTATTATATGAATCTAATGTGAGTAAGAAACAAATAGTAACTATGCATGAATTACCTTGAGTCATGGTGAATTTGTGCTGCTTTATTCTTTGATAGGAAGTTGGTCATCTTCTCATGTAACCTTTCATTAGCCTGTAACATAATTTTTATATAGTAGGCATCAGAATTCGGGAGTATAGTGTCACATGTTAAAATATTTGAAGTAATTCAAACACACGTCTGCTATGTGTGCATGCCGAAGCTCAAGCCAGATAGGATCATGGTCCTCCAAAAGAACTTCCCTCTTTTCAACTGTTCCAGATTTGCTTAGCACCTGCTCATATGTGCCAATGGTGAACTGATAGACATGAACGGAAGAAATGGAACAAAACATCCAAGTACATGTTTGTTTTAATCATAGCTTACCTCATGGACATATTTGTTACCTTCCATGTTTAGTAAATCATGACACATTGCATCGTAGGTCCACTCATGGATGATAGGAGCAATCTGTAACATGAAACAATAGATAAAGTGGCATAGGCCATATCTCAATCTTTATTATTCAAAAAAAAACCAAAAAAAAGCTCAGAAGGTACAGGAATGTTTAGTGTATACCTGGTCAACTGAGCGGTCCACAATGAGTAATTCACAAGTTTCCCTCTGGGGAAAATCAGGGATCGCAGTTTTATACCTAGCAAGGCAGTTCCAAATTCCAGCAGCAAGCTTTGTTGGTACTAAATCAGAGAGTGTGGTCATAGTAGAAGCATCTAAAGATGACTTTGCAGCACGATACCGCACATAAGGAAATTCCTGAAGTAAGTAATACAACTCAATATAAATCATAATCCAAAGTATCAAATTAAGAACAGCATGTAAATCTCAATATGATGCAAGGAACCAAATAACTACTAGGATTAAACTGAGAGCAGGTAAAGAGGAGTTAGTTCTGGATCAGAACAAATGGGAAGGAATTATACTTGTGCCTGTGTGAAACATATCATCACTCATCACATATATTCACACATAATATCATGAGGTTGTTGCAAGAGTGCCTTCCAAATTTATAGTATATATTGGCCTGTATTGTAGTTTACCAAAATGATGCTACATTCACTTGCCAAGAAAGAGAGAGATCCACATGATCGCATCAGAGTTAGTATAAGATTGATTATCCATCAAACCTTCCAGTTTCTTATATCTTATTTCATTAATATCTCAGACTTATACAGTGCTACCTCAAATGAATTTTCCGTATAAACATCAGTTACATAGTACCCTGCAATTTTATTTTATTTTTTGAACCAGTTTAGTTATCTACGAGAACCCTGAAACATTACAGATCCTTAAATTTATATTGGCTCTGGAATCATAAATTACATAAATAAGTTGAAATTAATATAACATATGGATGATGGATGATAATAGAAAAAAGAAGGCTGCAATCCTGATTATGGTTGCGAATAACAGAATTTCTTTTCTCTATTCAGCACTATTCGAATAAACTTTTTTTTAATAACCCAGCCTAGAATCGAACCCAAAACCATTGAAGCCATATTGGAACCTCCCAACCGTTCGGATCACCCCCGGTGGGCTTTTAGAATCTACTTGACCTGGTAAAAGTTGCGCATATAGACAAACAGGACCAACATAATAGTTTAAGTAGATCGAGCATAGTTGTGTCATTTGCACTTCACAAATTATGGTGTTTAGATTGAGCACCTACCTACATGCTTCATCTTATCAAGTGGTTGGTGTTTGAGCTTACATGTATGGAAGATCACCTCAATGCAAAAGGCCATTCTATGCTAGTCCTTACCATGGTATATCCTATATAATCAGATGCACAAGGATTTATACCAATATATTGAGCCATAAAATTCCCTGAACTGCCATAGTATAAATACAGACCAAAAATTTCTACTAAACATGGAAATGGATGTCCCAATGGAATTGCAAAAACAGCCAAGCATACTTCCTAAACTGCAATTTTATACACCTATGTTACCCTACTAATATACTAAGAATGTTTTTATCATACCCTCAAAGATGCAAATACTGTAGCAATGCGGATGGCCATTGTATTTAAACAGGCATTGTATTTGCGAGAATTTTCTGCATTTTCGGCAAATAATTCCTCTAGAGCCCTCTCGTGGTCAGTAATAAAACCCTGCATGGAATAACTCAGGAAGTGAAATCATTTACATACCAAAAATTAGAACTCAGATATAAGAAGCTTTTATATTTTCTATTGCAACCGAATTTATGTATGATTTAGGATCTAGAAAATAAATTAAAAAAAATCAGAAAAACAAACATAAAAAAGAACAAGAAAAATATAAGAGAACAGTGGTCTTACCTGACTATCAATTGCAAAATATTCCAAATTCATCTGTTCCAAAAAATGAAGAAAGTAACAGACCATTAAAGTACCAAATAACATGGCTGCAATCATAAAAAACGAACTTTAAAAAGGGTATCACTTGAACAAGGTACGGTTTTAGTAATAGGAGAAATTAAAGGGAACAGTTTGAACCTCACTCAAAGCACCTATGCGAGGTACTACACTTGCGTCACACCTTATGTGAGACACCAATTCTTTCGATGCAGGTGAACTGAAGAATACATATGCCCTGATGCAAAATATAATAAATTTCAATATAGAAAATTGAAATTCCAAGATAACACATAGCTAAGACTAATTCCAAATCAGTACATACTTTCTATACAAAGGACGTTTCCCGGACATGTCAGATAGGAACACAGCAACACTGCAGAAAGAGAATAGTCAGAAAGATGGGATGACCAAAATAGCATGATGATATACAAAGTAGTGCAAAACAAGCATATGCGCCAAAATAAGCAATGCATCTAGGATCCCGTTCTAAGAACTTAGGACCACTGTTAGGGAAGTATGCATGTTGCGCTAGGGAATCATGGACCACAAAAAATAAGTGATGCTTGTGCATTCATGCAAAACTATATACATCAACAACTATAGATCCATCTAGGAATTTTCGAAGTATATTAATGATTAATGATTAAAACTGATATTTTGTACATATTGTCCAAAAAGAATGCTATAAATCTGTGAAAGATTACTTTGAGGGGCTTAAGGAAGAGATGGATTCCTGAAGACGACTACTGGTCATCACATCATTTACCACCTTCCCATGGAAATTAATAGCAATGACACAAAGCAATCCAGCCACAATTTGAATGCACACTAAGCAATATATGGTTCATAATTGACACTTGCCAATAGCCTGTAGCCTACACAAAATAGCTATCATTACAAATATAAATATTCCGTAAAAGTTTCAAAAGATTAAAAAGTTAAAACAAAAGTTCACAAGCTTGCTTTCACCATCCATTCACCCCCAACAAAAAAATAACAAAAAAAAGATTAGTGCAACCTCTTCATGATAGAAAAAAGGACCCCAAATCATAGAAAAAATTATAAAATTAAAAAAAAAGCAAAAGTTAAAAAAAAAAACTATTGATACTTGCATCTTTGAAGACCAAAAAAATGTCATCTAGAGAAATATTGCACATCTCCAGCTACAAACTTAAATAAAAAAACTAATCAAGGAGACAAGATTGACTACTCGCCAAGCAGTGAGTAAAAGTCATAAAGTTGTTTGCCACTTTGCCCCATGCAAGACTTAATTACTTGTCATCTCAAAATAAGGCAAGTGACTTGCCATTGTTCAAGTTCCCATAGGATCCCTACCTTGGAGCTTGAAGCCATTGCTCTAAGAAGCAGCGTGGACGCCCACCTAGACCTAAGTGGTATCTAGGCTGCTCGCTCAATTCTTGAGGGCGCCAGGCAAACATGGGCAGGTTATGTGAACTCACATCGTCAAAAAAAGGTGTATTGCCCTGCTAAGCATAAGTATGGGTGCAGATAACATGCCAGGTTAAAAGGGATCATATCAGAACTCGATCCAAGTTCCTCTGACATAAAACAGTAAGGACAGACTGTGAAATTCTGAACTAAATCCTTCCTCTATCTGTGCTAAGAAAGCGCCAACTTGCCACTTAGGGCGCTCCCGGCTAGACACCTGGGTGCTAGGCACTATGTCCAGCGCCCGGAACCGCCTAGAGCTTTCTAAAATATCGCTTTGAGAACAACTTAGCACACAACTCAGTGAGAATCATCAACAAGACGTTACCCAAAATTTTATTAGCTCAGCCATATATAACTCTTTTTTCCATTCTCTCTAAACTAGCAAGTAGAATAATAATAACCTGATACCAGGGTCAACTCATTTCATGGTCTACCATAGCAAAGCCACTTTAACTTAAAAACACAAAAGAAAAAAAAAAGTCCTAAATGTTATCTTCAACTGCTATCCAACGTAAAATTCTCACTTCAACTACACTCAATATCAATTTGGATTCACTCTGATTTCGGACCATTACAACATGGATGGCTCTCTCCAACTTCACAGGGATTCTGGAGTTGCATAATAGTCAGAAACACTTCCCGCTTCAATTATCCCAGTTTAATTCCATGAACAGTGACACCAGTTTTAAGAATGAAGTCATAATCAATAGATCCATGCTGCAAATGACTCCCACCAAAAAGGAAAATCTAATTATACAAGAATAAAGATGAAAAGTCCTTTTCATCCATGGTAGGGTTGACCAGGTGAATGGTCAAAACAAAAAAAAAAACTGACAAAGTCTAACCCCTAAAAAACATGTCCATAAAACAGATGGATTCATGGTATAGGGTTATGGAGGAACCAGATCTTACGTCCTAACAGGAAAATGCTTACTATCCCACTCTTCTAGTAGAATAAAAATTGTCTCAGATAAACCAGATCTTACATCAGAAATCACTTGAACCAACATATATCTACCTAAGTGCAACACAAATGGTAAATGATGATGGCTTACACAAGGATCAAAAGGAAATCCAGCCAGATAAACCATGGTTGAAAAATAATGCACATAACTGAGAAAATATGGTACAAAACCAAGTTCGCAAGTACATTTAATGTCAAAAGTACTCAGAGCCTAAGATCTTGGCGAAACCAATGATGCAAAGGGCATCGTTCTTTCATTTTTTTCAAAAGGCTCATTGATGTGAAAATGACAGCAAGGTTAAGGCCAAAATACAGTTTTAACAAAAATGGTCATTGACAGAGAAGTTTTGTTAAATAGGCTGAGCTACAATTAAGTGCAGTACCAGAAGTTTTGAGGGAAATGTATCTGATCATTTAATATTTTAACTCGAGATGTGTACATTGTAAGTAGTTCCATATATGTGCATCTGATACAAGCATTCTCTGGGAAAGCTCAATGACGAAAAGTTAAAAAAACGAATTCAAGATACCAAACATGCTTAAGACCAACTGCCTATGCAACAAGATGACACATGCATGAACATACACACAAGCACACAAACAGACATGCATCAACGCATGCAGGTACATAGCACACAAAAACAACAGTCTAGTGGAATGAATACTGACAATAGAAAATAACTCTAATCCAATTAAACATACTTTTCCTTAAGAGGCTGCATAAAATATATTGCATCCATCGCGGGCATCGGCTGCCTTCGTTTGTGAAGGTCTTCCATCACTACAAAGCAAATAGAGCCAATGAGGAATGCAAAAAAAAAGAGGAATGCAAAAGAGGTCATAAATTCACACTAAAAGCAAAATGCAAAAATTGTCATAAGTATGATCTCAAAAACAATGCAAAAGAGATCATAAATTCGAAACGGAAGAGAAAAGCAAAAAAGTTCATCAATTTATAAGAACCAATAATATGATGGATAATTATACTTTCCGAACAATTCCTACACTACTAGACACAAGTGTTTGAGGGTATTTCTACTTGAATTGCTATTAAGATCGATGAGTCATCATGGACCCCACAATCCTTGGGTGTAGTAGTGTAGGAGTAGCTTAAAAAGTGTAGTCTAGTTAGCACTACTCTAATATGGTTAGGGGTAAAAGTAGAGTTCTGTCTGGAAAGAATACTGGTCAATGAAGTAAACTTTCCACTCTTAAAACTCGAAGCTAGAGTAAGGGGCAAAAACTATGTAGCATGAGCATACAACATAGAGAAATTATTAAAGCATAGGCCATGCTGAAGCAAGCACAAATTTGTTTCTAAAACATGACCAGAAAATTGCCATTCCCCAACATAGAAATTAACAGGAAACAGAACTATGTAGCATGAGCATACAACATAGAGAAATTATTAAAGCATAGGCCATGCCGAAGCAAGCACAAAGTTGTTTATAACATGACCAGAAAACTACCGTTCCCGACATAGAAATTAACAAGAATTAACTAGCCTCGTATAAAAACAAACTGCTATTGGCTAGAACCGTTCCCGACATAGAAATTAACAAGAATTAACTAGCCTCGTATAAAAACAAACTGCTATTGGCTAGAAAATGAAAGAGAGAGAAACACAGATATCCAATAAGTTGCACTTATCAACTTACATGAAACTCCTTCATCTGTAACGTCAGATATCTTGCACGAACTTGACATGATTCTCAAAGCAACTTTGTCCATGATGAGTACCTGAAAGAAACCAGCAATCATCAAATTCGATTAAAGAAATAACTGAAAAGAAAAGTATAATGAAAAAAGTAATCAGGGGTTAAACTTTATATTTTATTTTGTATTTTAAACGGGACAACCTCTACAACTAGCAGATGACCTCAGATGTCATGTCAAGGAAACAGTTATGAATTGATATCAAGTCAGTACAAATAAAAACATGAAAATATCTTTCAACTAGTTATCTTGTCTTATGTGTAAAAAGCTGGCATGATTAATATCTATGCTCCAACTTGAGGAGGGGGGGGGGGGGGGGGGGTTGGTGTAGCACATTTTGTTCCTTTGCAGCCACTTATGTATTTCTTGCCCTCTACTCAACCTATCATCTAATAAATAGGTTGGCATGGCTCATTAATTGGACATCTCTCTTAGTTTTCTCTTTCTACAATCCTTATCACCAATTCAGGACAATACTGAAATAGGCACATTAACAATCAGTATTAAGCTTATAGCCCTGAATTATGGGAAATAGGAGAGCTTCCATACAACCTAGACAGCCTGGTCAGTAGAAATATCAGCCTTCAGTCATGCTATTTAACTAATATCTAACCCTGCTTCTCTCTGATAATTTTAGCCTTCTTACTCCAGAAATTCATATTAAATAAAAGCCTCCTTCAAAAGCTATACAACTATATTACAGTTATATATATTGTCACACAACAACATGTGCGCTATCTATATTAAAAAATATTCAGATAAAAGTGTCCATATTAAAAGAAGAAAACAGATGAAGGATTAATAATTTGAAAATTGGGATGATTGAATTCACAAAGCAACGTGTGATAACCACTATCTTCATTCTTAAAAATCTCCACAGACATCAATGCACGGCACAACAAATCCAAAGTAATAAGTGAGAACTGTTTGAGCACATATATATAGTATCTCCACAATGTTAACTTTATCAGTGGATGGAGCTAGTAGCTTTAAGTAAAGGAAATCTTTACTAAGAAACTCCAATGCAGCTTCTCAAATGTTGGGAACTGCTCGATATATGAACAATTGAAAATAAAGGGGAAAGTCCATGAAAGACCGTATATCAATCACCATCACCAGGCCCTACACATTAAAATGAGGCCAGCTGTTGAAAAACCGAACAAAGCGACACCAACATGTCAATGCTAAGTATGTTAGGGCAAAATTCTGGTCCCTGCATCCGCAGAAAAGAGGAGGAGGGCCATGTGATAAAACCTAGAAGGCCTGGTAGGTAGAAAAGAAACCTATTTAAACATGCTTTTGGAAGCTTATGCAACAAAGGAGCAACCCTTCTAATTTGCCTAGAATGGCTAAAGAGTCCAGAGACACAGCGGAAAGTTCACAAAACAAAAAGAGAGAAATAGGCAACCACTGTACAAAAAGACATAATTGACTATATGTCCTGTAAAGTGAAAATATTCCAAGACATTGATAACTACACAGCATCATGCACACTTCTTCACCACTGCAGACCATGTAAAACATGCAAATGTAATATGAACCGGTACATCATAGAACAAAGGTGGATGTAAAGGAATATAGAAGGTTATATGTCACTATTACCTTCCATGGTGCCTTCGAGTCTTTCTTTGATTTGGTTGATCGAAGCATTTCATATAATAATCCTGGAATTCAATTAAATTCGAGTATTATGAGAAAAAAGAATGAAGAGACCACAATGCAAGAGCAAGAATGGTTGTAATACGTAAGAATAATTATAAGAAGCCATGCCAAAACCCGTTTCAAAATAACATTATCCTCCACCCGTCATCCCTCCTCTTGAATCAAACACAAAATATAACCTGCATCTAAGCTTTAGTAAGAAAATAAATTTGAGGTTCAGTGGGTCAATAGGTCTCATGTTAACCTGGAAATCAATACTGAAGCTTGATGCTTGCCAGGATATTCAGGATTTCATGTATCCAATAAGCATAAACCATTCGACCGAGTCTATATGCGCAGGAAATATTTTTTAAGATTTTACTGAAATGAAAGTTATAGTTAGATCAAACTAACAGTAAGTCACCATCAACATCATGAAATCAAAGGGGACGACTTGGCTGTTTGTGAACTATACCGTCAATCAACCCATAATGTAGTATTATCAAGAATATTTTCGGTTTTAATAGAATATAAAGTAGCAAATAACCAGTGTTAGCATGTCGCGAGGGACTACTTTGTGCTCAATTAGAAACGGGTCTTAGTTGCCCGTTTGCAACTTTATACTGACTAATAAGTTCCCAAACTTCCATCTGCCAGCTCTGTGATGAAGGGGTAAAACCAGCAGGCGCAAGTCACTTGCTAGTTCTCTCTAATAACCTTAAGCCATGTTCAGGCATCAGGTTTCTTCACATGAACAAAGTGACTGAAATCTTGTTTCCACTTGAATGTGATTATCTCACACTTCAAATACATTGCCGCCGAGAAAATCAAAAGTTGCCCATAAACTGCAGCCCTCATCCAATCCACTGAAAATTGCTACTATCTTATTCTTTTCAGACAGTAATCGCATCATATAACATATTATACCTATTATATTTCAACATGCATACAAATTAGGACTAAGAAAAATTACTCAGTTCAGTACTAACATCCCAAAATTAGCAATCGAAACAACAAAGATCAAATCGAATAGAGAGAGAGAGGGAGAGGGAAGCATACGCTCTCTGGTGATCTGGCGAAAGGTCTTGTACTCCGCCCCGCCGTGAGAAGACGAGTCCGAATCCGACATGACCGATCGCTTGAAATCAAGGAGGGGGAGGAATTAGGGTTTTGGCCGTCTCGAGAGGGGATCTGAGGCCTGATCCCGCTCTCAGCGACGATGAGAGAGACAGAGAGAGAGAGAGAGAGAGAGAGAGGATTAAATCAAATCAAAGAAAGAGAAATATTTTCGTCTTGATTGATTTATATAGGCTTCTCAACGAGGGGGGATGATAAAAAGGGGAGAAAGCAACCGCTGGCCGAGGCTTTGACCACGCGAGGGTAAAATGGGAAGACTAGGTCGCGCGCGCGTTCAAGATACGCACGAGGTTTTTCAAAGATAGGGAAATTGGCCCCCTGGTGCCAGGAGAAATTACTAGAGTAGCCCTGTTTATTTTTCTATCTAACCATTCGTTCAGAAAATATTGTTGGGTTATTCAGTTATAAAAAAATAACTGAACTCGCCTATGGAAATAATTTTTTTTATTTGTTCGAATTAGATCCTGAAATTAGGAGAAATTCCCTTTCGTCAGTCACGCGATGGGATGTTGGTGCATAAATAGAAAGTAAAAAATACTATACACGCTAACATGTATGCGTACATGCGCCGACAAATGTGAGAGGTGAAACATGAAGGCTTGTATTCTACTATATTTCACGGTTTGAAGAAAATATGATGTGACAGAAGCGTAATATAGAAGTACACCGGGTTATAATCATGCAAAAATAACGATGCAAACCCAGAAAAATCTTAAGAATCGAGAACCTTCTGAAATAGGATAACCCAGACGAAAACTAGCATATAATGAGGCCTCATTAAATAGGATGCGAAACAATTGCAACGGTACTAAACTACCCTCCTAAAATAAAGAGCTTACTTATAAAAGCTAGAAACTAAAACTAAAAAGGTTAAAAAAAATTTATAAGGTGACGTGAGCCTGAAGACGGATTCCTTTTATCCCAAAATGATAATGGTCATTCGGAGTGCAGAGCACTTTATGATCTTTTGGAAAATATATTACAATAAAGATTCTGTATCGGGAATTAAAATATGTGGTCTATTGAAGTCGCGCATCAAAATGTACCCGGAGATTATCTTTTTTTCTTGGATCATCCAGGCTCCATACAATCTGATCTCTCCAAAAAAGAAAAAAAAACCAGTTATTGCATCTGCATCAAAATAGTTATATCCAATCAAAAATCACAACCTATACAGAGTTGAAGGTATTTTTTTACTCCTTAACCATGATTTGCCAACAATGTGAGGTCTGCAAATTCCCACGGGATGCTTTATATAATATCGCGCAAATGTGTTTCTGGTATGGCTGCTGCTGCATGGCGATGATGATGGGCCAACTTTAGTGGGCTCTTTACGTAACCTTAATTATGATATCAGTTTTTAGGGCATAGAGCTTATGTTATGGACTCATCTATTATTCTATAATAATGGGAGGATCTAAGAGTCACTATCTATGCTACAACAAAACACTGTAGTATTGTTACTGTAGCACTGGCAGGAGGATCCAAGGATCACTATCCATACGTGCACTGTAGCGTTTTTAAAGTATCACTGTAGCTCAGTTGGGATACTGTAGCATTTTTAAAAATGTTGCTACAGTATTTATAAAAAATGTGCTTAAAGATATAATTAGTGTAGCAAAAATAAAAAAATATAGTTCATCCTTTGGACGGGGTGCACACTAGTTAATTATAAAGCCTAAAGCTCAATCTAATAAGAGGGGTGTTAGGGACACACCCTTGTGCACACCACCAACCACACTCCCCCTCATCTATAGTGTAGGGGCCCCACATGTGATTTTTTAAAAAAAATCACATGTGGGGCCCCTGCACTGTAGATAGTGGGGGAGTGTGGTTGGTGGTGTGTCCAAGGGTGTGCCCCTATCATTTCTTATCTAATAAAAGGCTTTGACAACCAACCAAAGGCACGTGTATTTTATAATAATAAAATAACAACACTAAGATAGCTTACCTTTCATACTAAGACTGCCTCCAATTCAAAGACAAAGTAAGCCCAAATCTTCTCTAATACACCTCAGGATCCC